CCTGTTTTCCGCGAACCTGTCGCGAATTTCGGGTTCGCGGAATTTTACAATCAGCGTAAATGAGCGAACATAATTTTCGCGAGATTGCTTCACGGTGACCGTCGATCTTCCATCCCGCCGGCCTCGGAACCCCCCTGCGCAGCAGGTGCGGAGCAGTGGTGGTTCTTGAAAATTTTTAACCAAATCGCTCGTGAGAGAGCGGTAGCAGCGAATTCTTTAGCGAGCTGTTACTTTAAACGATCTCGTCGTCGATCGTTAATTGTCGCCTCCCCTTCCCCCCTCCCCTTTCCTCCCGCCCCCCACCCTTCCCCCCTCACCCCTCCCTCCCCACTTCTCCTTTTCCCCTCCGTACAGCAGGGCGGAGCAGCGAGAGGAGGCGGTGGTGGGCGTGAGGGAGCGGCAGCAGCGGCGACTGGAGGAGGAGGCGAAGCTGCAGCTGAGGAGGGTGGAGTGGCGCGAGGTGGGCGGGTAGGGGGAGTGGGGAGGGGGGAGGGAGTTAGGGCAAGAGAAGGGAGCGCACGGGAAGGAGAAGGAAGGGAGCGCACGGGAGGGAGAAGGAAGGGAGACAGCAGCAGCGACTGGACGAGGAGGCGCAGGCTGCTGCTGAGGAGCGAGTGAGTGGCGCGATGGGGACGGGTGTGTGTGGGTGGGGAAGGGGGCGGGGGGGGGGGGCGTGGTTTGGGAAAGGGGAGAGGGGGGGAGAAGGGGGAGAGGGAGAGGGGAGGAGGGAGGGGGGAGCGGGAGGGGGAGGGGGGATTTAGGAGGAAGGGGGAGCGGGAGAGGGAGGGGGATTTAGGAGGAGGGGGGGCCGGGAGGGGGAGGGGGGATTTAGGAGGGGCATTCACATGCGGTTATATGCACACGCACAGCTACATGCACACGCACAGCTACATGCACACGCATATCTACATGCACACGCATATCTACATGCACACGCATATCTACATGCACACGCATATCTACATGCACACGCATATCTACATGCACACGCATGTCTACAGGCATGCGCCGTTACAGGCATGTGTAGTGTAGTTACAGTCATGTGGTTACAGGAATGTGCGCCTTGAAATCTCCACCAGCTTGCGATCACGGCCCCAGGCGCAGCATGCTTTTATTCTTTTTTCTCTTCCGGTGGACTTGCCCTCAATCTGAATCCTTGTTCATCCGCTGCAATGCAATCCACAGGCGCGCGTGCAGGCACGGCAGCGGGACGAGGCGCGGCAAGCAGCGGTGGCAGCACTAGAGGCGAGCCGAGGCCACTCACTGCGATCCAGAGGGGGAGGGGTAAAGTCTGAGGGGGACCCGCAGATCAAAGACCTTGGAACGGAGGGAGAAGGGGGAGGAGAAGTGGGAGGAGAAGGGGGAGGAGAAGGGGGAGGAGAAGGGGGGGAGAAGGGGGAGGAGAAGGGGGAGGAGAAGGGGGAGGAGAAAGGGGAGGAGAAGGAGGAGGAAGAGCAGAGGTGAACGAGGGTGTGGTGGGTGCAACGGGTGATCTGGGAGGGGGCAGCGGGGCGCATGGCAGCAGCAGCGGGTATGAGGTTGCTGGGCTTGTGAGACGGCGCAGGGGAGGAGGGGGGCAGGAGGGAGGGAGAGAGGACGAGGAGGGGGAAGAGGGGGAAGAAAGGGTTGGAGGGGAAGGAGGGGTTGGAGGAGAACGAGGAGAAGGCGGGGAGATGAGGGGTGGTGTGATGGGAGGGCGACTGGGTGTGGAGGGTGGAGGGTGGAGATCAGCTGCATCGCTGGAAGCAGAGAAAGAGAGGAAGAGGCAGGTATGGCGAGTGGAGTGCAGGTAGGTGTGGTGCGGTGCAGGCAGGTACGGTGCAGTGATTTATGAGTCAAGTTGACAGTCGAGGGCAGAGGATGGAGGGTGGCGGTCAGTTGCATCTCGAGGAGCAGAGAAGGAGAGCAAGAGGCAGGTATGACGAGGGGAGTGCAAGTAGGTGTGGTGCGGTGCGTGCAGGTATGGCGAGGAGAGTGCAGGCAGGTATGCGGAGGGGGGTGTTGGTAGGTATGCGGAGGGGGGTGTTGGTAGGATATGCGGAGGGGGGTGTTGGTAGGATATGCGGAGGGGGGTGTTGGTAGGTGTGCGGAGCTGACTTTGCATTGCAGGCTCGCTGGATTGATTTCGGAGATTGAGTTCGCCGTAGCATTCTACCGAGCTGACTTTTGAGTCGACTCAAAAGTCATTTCATAAGTATCCGTGCAGGCACTTGCATTGTACGACTCAAAGAACCACCTTCTTTCCCTCATCCTCTCCCCACCATCCCTCAGGATGCAGCCTTTGCAGCCTCGTTGCGACGGGATAGGGCGATAGAGGAGAGGCGGAGAGTGGAGGAGGAGAAGAGGAGGAGAGAGGCGGAGGAGCAAGAGCGGATCAAAGAAATGGAGAGAGGAGCAGAGGAGCAGAGGCGAAAGGAGGAGGAGGAGAGAAGCAGAGCAGAGGAAGAGAGGAAACGGAAAGAGGAGGTGAGAGGAATTGCCAGTTTAGAGAATTGAACATGCCACTCATGAGCAGAAGAGAATATGAGCAGAAGAGTTCTTTAGCTCTCTCTCATGGTAGACAACGGAAAGAAGAGCAGAAAAAATTCAAGGCGCCTCAAAAGTTGTGAGCTGCCTCAAACGTCATGATAGAAATAGACAAAGGAGCAGAAGACTGCCAAGATTCCTCAGGCAACATATCCTTTGTTCTGTGTCGTTGTTATTCGTTTCTTCTGCTTGCCACCAGGAACGCAGGGAGCACTACAGACGATTGCTGCCACCTGAGCCGGGAGCTGACGTGGCGAGCGAGGAGAGGGCGGTGGTGGCGGTGCGGCTTCCAGACGGGATGGTGTGCAGGCGGGGGAGTGGCGGAGAGCAGACACTGTGGGGGACGTCTATAACTGGGTGCGTGCATGAGGGTGCGTGAATGTGTGTGCGGGCATGAGGGTGCGTGAATGTGTGTGCGTGTGTGCGGGCATGAGGGTGCGTGAATGTGTGTGGGATACATGTAGGAGATGCGGGACATGTGCGTGCGTGTGAGAGACGTGTCTGCAACTGGTGAGTGCGTGTGTGGGGTGGTGCCTATGCCAATATGCATGTGTGGGAGGGAGTGGAGCAGAGCAGCAGGCTGGGTGAGGGACGTGTATGAGGGAGGATAGGGTGGTGGTGGGAACGGTGTGCAGGCGGGAGTGGCAGAGAAGAGAGCAGACATGGTGGGGGACATCTAGAACTGGGTGTGCGGTGGTTAGAACAAGATGGGGTGCGTGCGTGGTGACTGGAACGTGTGTTTTGAGTCGACGCACATGCAGATTCTGAGGCTTCTGAGGATTCGGAGGATTCTACTGTTCTTTAGTATTCCGAGAAGTCTCAAACCACACACTCCCACACAACATCCTCCTCCCTCCACTTTGTCTGATGCAGCTTTTGAGAATTCTCAAAGTGCCTCCCTTGCGGCCTCAATAATCAACCAACACTGCATCCTGCTCCTCATTCAACCCTTCCATAGCTCTCCCCCGCTCCTCTGCCCCCTCCCCACGCCCCACCAAACCCCCCCCACCTGTTTCCCCTGCTCCCCTCCCCCCATTTCCCCCACCCACCGCCCAAACCCCCTGACCTGCTACAGCAGCACACACTCCCCCAAAAGGACCTCCTCCCCTTCCCCCTCTCGCGCGCCTCTCTAGCCACCACCTTCCCACGCCGCCTGCTGCCCCTCGCCTCCTCTGCTGCCCTCCATGTGGACTTGCAATGGAGAGGTCACTCTTAAAGATGGGGTAGACAGCCGGAACTGTGTGTAATGCCAACCCTCCATTTCCCCTGCTCCCTCCCCCCATTTTTCCCCCCACTCCCCGCCCATTCTGACCCATTTCAGCTGCACACGCTCCCCCAAAAGGACCTCCTCCCCTTCCCCCTCTCCCGGGCGGCTCTCACCACCACCTTCCCCCGCCGCTTGCTGCCCGCGCTGCCTTTGTCTCCATCTCCCTAGCGCATGCAGACCTGTGCCCACGAGCAGTGCTGGTGGTGGAAGAGGAGGTGAACGAGAATGAGAACGAGATTGAGGGAGAGGGGTCTAGGGTTGTGTAGTGCCTTGGCCGACCCATCACCCTCTGCTGCCCCGCGCCTCCTCTGCAGCCGTCGCCCTAGAGCAGGCAGACCTGTGCCCACGAGCAGTGTTGGTGGTGGAAGAGCAGATGCAGGGGGGTGAGAGTGAAAAGGAGGGCGAGGGACAGGGAAATGAGAGTGAGGGCGAGGGTTTTAGGCTTCTGTAAATCCTCTTCAATCTCATCACCCTCTGCCTGCAGCCGTCTCCCTAGAGCAGGCAGACCTGTTTCCACGAGCAGTGCTGGTAGTGGAAGGGGAGGTTGATGAGAATGAGGGAGAGGGGCAGGGGAATGTGAGAATGAGATTGGGCGGGCAGAGGAACGAGAATGAGGGCGAAAGGCGGGAAAATGTGGGGGAAGGGCAGCGGTATGAGGGGCGAGGCGAAGCTGTATGAGGGCGAAAGGGCGAGAAAATGTGGGGGAAAATGGCTCATCTCGCTTAACAATTGTCTATCCAGATTGCCGCTTTTTTTTATTATTAGGGCGGGGGAGAAGGGGTGGATGTGGGGGGGTGGGAGGATGGAGGGGAGGGGGCACTCGTTCTTTTATCCCCGGGGCCGCTACTCCAAACATATTTCTTTATTAGAAATATGGAGGAAAAAAACAGTGTGTACAGAAGAATATTAGGGTTTAGCCTCGGTGCCCAACCCCTGTGTGTACATACTTCTAAACCCTAAGGGATTGCAAGCTAAAAAAAAAAACAAACAAAACAAGAGGTGACGAAATCAGGCCCTCAGATTCACTTTTAGACACGTAAGGGTATCAGGGTCCCTCTGCCCCTAGACCCTGATCGTCAGGGTGCCTAAAAAAAAAAACCTGAAAGTTCAGTGTTACTTTTTAAAACAAGTCTGATGCATCAGTGTTCCCTACAGAAAAAGCCTGATACTAATAGGCTTTATTTTAAGTTAAAAACACTAGGAAGTAAGCAAACAGCCTTCAATCTTTCAATCTGTCTGTGTTGTAAACCAAAGCCTATGTTGCTATGCTATGCTAGCTAGCTAGCTATGCAATACAAGGCATCAAGCAAGCATGACATGACTTTGGGTCTGGTCTGGGAGAGTTCAGTTCAGTATTCATCATCAGATGATGCTTGCCTGTCATCATCATCTCTTCCTTAGCCTCTCGTTCTTCCAACTCTCCTCCTCCTCCTCTCTCCACCTTTCTCTCAGAATCCCCCCACAAGCCCACTGGGATAAAAGGGCGTGTTAAGTAGGGGTCAGTAGCGCCCAATAACCCCAGAGGACAACGAGCATGAATTCCCTAGGATCAGGGGGGACCAGAGGAGGACCTCTGACTGGGATGGAGCCCGAAGAGGACAGGGAGAAGAGATAGATGAGAATGCGAACAATGAAGGATAAAAGGGAAGGGATAAAAGGGCAGAAGCAGATAACCAACAACGAGAGTGTAACCGGGGAGGATTCGGGGGACAGGACGACCTAGACACTGCCCCTCCCCCTCTCTTGCTGGTGGTGCCGCCACATTCCCGAATGGGCGGCGCTTCTTGTAGCTGCGCCAGATCTGCACCACCTCATCGTAGTTGGGCTCGTACTCGAGTAGAGACATCGTGATGAGGTCTTCGAGGCGGGCGTCCTTCAAGCTCCCCCGCTGCCACGATTTGATAACGTTCTGGAGTGAGAAGCCGCGCTCACACTCCACTGTGCTCAGCGGCAGCACGGCGACATCCACCCAGAGACGCACCAGATTGGGGTAGCTAGTCGCCCAGTCGCTTGTCTTGAGCATTGCTGTTAGGCCGGCGTGGAAGTTGCGCTCGTTCTTCGGGGCACCTGTGAGGATGGGGCAGAAGGCACGCAGCTCCTTGATCGCACGCCGCTTGTCGACCCCTGCCACATAAGGCGGAAGGGAGAGAGAGGGGGAATTAGAAAGGCTGGCGTCTTTTGTAGGGGAGGGACATAGAGGCTCGTCGATGGGTTCAAATGGAATATCGACGGGCGGCGCCTTTCCATGGTTATCAACTGCTGCAAAATTGGAGAACAGCAGATCCAGTCCGGTGACAGCACCGGACAGATCAACAGGCGCACGACGATCAGCTTCATCGCCGTGGTCACCACTTTGTTCAATGGCGTCTGGGTGGTCCGCCATTGATTGCAGCTCGACCAAGCAGCATCTAACAGGACTAACGAGCTCGCCTAACGATAGAGGTTTGCCAGGAAGAGAGAACACACGGCTGACTGCCTCTTGGTACACAAGGCAGCAACGCGATGAAACCCCAAGCAGTTGGATGGAAGGCCTGGAGCAGAACGGGATGTGAGGCTGGATGGCAGGTAGCACGGTGGGAGGTTGGATGCTTGCCAGCACGACCTAGACAGCCAGAATCCCTTGCAGCGCAGCCTGCCAGCATCGCTGTGCTGCAACCTTGTAATTGGTCAAGTCACATAATGTTGCAAATGTGGCCAATGAACGGACCAGGCGCGCCAACTAAGGGGCCATCAGTGTGGGCAAAATTGTCCGATAGTAAACGACAGGCCCTGCTGACACCGACGGGGAATCTGATTTTCCCGTACTTCCAGTCAAGTACACTCGTACCTAGTAGGATTCGCTTTCAGGGACAAACTCGTTACAACGTTAAGGCATCAGTGTCACTTCAAAAAAATTGCTGAAAGTTCAGAGTCATGTGACATGTGAAGGCTGAAAAATCAGCCCTAGGAAAAGCTGAACACTGGATTTTCAGGGTAGGTAAAAAAAAAACCATGTAAATCAGGAATTTCAGGGTAAAATTCCTGATATCGTAGGGCCTGGACGAAATCGTCTAGGGTTGCGAAGCATTTAGTTAAATGTTCATTTACTATTGTAATATTTGTTTCAATGATCTTGTTTACAACAGAGGCAACTAATGTAGGGGATACTTGTTGATTTGAAAATGGCAAAATTCCCGACTGACGCAATGTCCTAACCCGCGACCGTATAATTCATAGGCTATACGAAACCGACTATGCTAGAGAAACTGCAAATTCTAATGTTCGTAATTTAAACAGCGATAGTCATTTTGACAAAAATCAATGGCATCTAGGGTTTGTAAATCTCTTTCTCGCTGGTGTCGTCATGCCACTCCAATCACTTCCGTTACTCCCAGCTCCTCCCCGCAGTTCCTTCACCTACTTGTACTCCAGCTTCTAAGGTGAGCTTTCTAGGGACTAGATAAAAGTTTACGTACTAAAGTCAAGATAATGTATACGATCTTCTCTAGTTTTTCACAGAAGTACCTCGTGGTAGGTCATTTTAGACGAAGTTTTATGATTACTATGTAGATTACAGAGCATCATCGCGTCTCTCTTCTTGTCGAGCTTTCTCGCTCGTCCCCCTCCTCCTCGTCCGTCCACCTCTTTCTCTTGTCCGCCTATCTTTGTATCTCCTTACTCAAGTTCTTCTACATCCCCTGATTTTAACCGTGATTTTTTTGGCATTGTCTCTTCATCTGATCTTTCCTTTGTTTTTCTTCTTTTCGCTTATCCTTGATCGTATTAAATGTCGTGAGAAAGCTCAGAGCTCGCAGAAAAGTTGTCCGTCTTATTCAAACTTTGTGACAGCAATATTTTTGGCAAATCCGAGTGGAACACTCAATAGAAGACATTAACAGATTTCTCTTGTTATTGTCTGCCTTTGTTTCTTTGCTTAATTTATGTCGTAGCATTATGTCGTATTCATGTATCTGTTTATGTCGCTGTACAAGGGCAACAACCCAAGATGCTACGTCGTTTGATTTGTTGAAAGCCGTAGATTATTGAAGCCGTAGTTGTTAGAATACTAGTTACAGTGCAGGAGCCATAGCTAGGGTTTAGCTAGCTACGCAAGAGAGAATAGGTAAAAGAAGGGTTTGACTAACAGTCAGTTTGGTACATAAGGAAACCCTAAAGGGCTGTACTCACTATTGAGTACCCCACTACAGGCTAGACAAGCATAATATTCTGACACACCCCCATAGTCAAAGTGGGATATAAACAGCACAGCAAGCAGTCATAGAGCAGGTTCACAAGTACAAGCAAAGCTAGAGGCATTCACAGAGGGCAAGTGAGGAGGAGGAGTGACTATGAGAGGAGAGAAGCTGGTGGGCGGCGGCAGCTGAAGTTACTGGCACACGGCGCAACTGGAGCAACTGGCACACGGACAACTGGAGCAACTGGCACACTGGCAACTGGAGCAACTGGCACACGGGCAATTGGAGTAACTGGCTCTGCGGCTAGACGAGCGGCAGGAGCAACTGACCCACGGGCGACTGGAGCAACGGGCTCACGTGCAACTGGAGAGACGGGCTCACAGGCGACTGGTGCAACGGTCTCACGGGCGACTGGAGCTGCTGGCTTCACGGCGACCACCCCCCCTTCAACCTCCCCTAACAGTCCCACACCCCCTTCTCACACACCCCCTTGCTGCACCACTAGCTCCACTCCACGACACCCCCCTAGCGCCACTCCCTCGGCTCCCACACACCCACCCCCCCACAGCGGCAACTGCAGCACTGGGAGACGGAGTAGGAGGAGGATCAGGGAACGGCTCACACACCCGCCACCCTCAGAATCGGCACCGCGCAGTTGCACAAGGGCAGGGAGTGGCGCGCGGCTCCACAGGGCAGCACGCGCGGGCTGCAGGGGCGGCTCGCGTGCTGATGGGGCGGCTCGCGGACTGTAGGGGCGGCTCGCGAGCTGCAGGGGGGGCAGCGCGCGGGCCCCCCGAGAGCGCCACGGCGGGTGACGGGAGGGGGCGACGCGCGGGCCCCCAGGGCGCCGCGACGAGGCGACGGGAGGGGGCGACGCGCGGGCCCCCAAGGCGCCGCGACGAGGCGACGGAGGGGGGCGGTGTGCGGGCCCCCAAGGTGCCGCGACAAGGCGACGGGAGGGACGGCGCGCGGGCCCCCAGGGCGCCGCGACAAGGCGACGGTAGGGAGCGACGCGCGGGCCCCATTGGCACCGCGACGAGGCGACGGAAAGGGGGGGGGGGGGGGGGGCGGGGCGCGCGGGTCCCTGGGGGCGCCTCGACGGACGACGGGGGGCGACGCGCTGGTCGACGGGGCAGGAAACCGCCGCGCGCCCGCCATGCGCCCCGAGCGCGTGGCGAGAAGAAAAAACGTCGCGCGCCGGGGGCGCGCGATAGACAGGACAGCAGCGGAAGCTAACGGTGGGCCCACAGGCCAGGAGCGTAACCGCTCTGATCGCATGTTAGAATACTAGTTACAGTGCAGGTGCCATAGCTAGGGTTTAGCTAGATAGACAAGAGAGAATAGGTAAAAGAAGGGTTTGACTAACAGGCAGTTTGGTACATATAGGAAACCCTATAGGGCTGTACTCACTATTGAGTACCCCACTGCAGGCTAGACAAGCATAATATTCTGACAGTAGTTTATTGAAATCTCTCTCTCTCTCTCTCTCTCGTCCTCTCTCTC